CCAGAATATGTTATAAAATCTTTCCTCCTGTTGTTTATTTGTAATTCCATATTTGATTGTAGTATTTACAAAGTTTTTAACTTTTTCTCAGACAGAAATGTCAAACATTTAGTTAGAATTGAACTCCCAGTAGAATATTTCCTTGATTCTCCATACATTGATTTTCTGGAACTCTATTATTTGGAAATAAAATGAATAAAAAAAATAAAATCATCTAAATAATTTTTTCAATTATCTGAACTAAACCCATTCTAATATTTCATCTCAAATGAGCATTTTGTGAATTTTAGAAAACCATACTCAATGTTTAATAAAAATCCCGATAAAATCAGTTCAATTAATTTTTATTAATTATCACAGTGGCCTGGGTATTACTGAATTTATAAATGCACCAGATAATGTTGAAGAGGGGAAGGATGATAATGATATTGTCCATGTTGAAGTTCAACAATCACAATGCCAAATTTCAAATGCTGTAGCAATGATTATGTTTGACATGTTTAAATTGACTGTGCTTTCAACCAGAAATTACCTTAGTGGTTGAATAATGCAAGGAAATGGACAAAAAATTGATACATTTTTATCATAAAAAATAAACTGGACAAAACTTTGAACAAAGCATTTTGAAAACATTATTTGATGATATAAAATGTTAGATTTCTTATAGAAAATGACTTTTTCTCTTTATTCTTTTTTGATAATTTAGATGTAAAATTATTCAGAATTTTTTATTATCCAGACTTTTTTTTCAATCTGTCCCAAGGAGTCCAGATAATCAGAGAAGTATGTTTTTATTAGTTCAGGCTAGCTTACTAAAATCTTTTTTATGGCAAATGTTGTCTTCATATTTATTGATAGATTGGGAACTTCGACTTGGTGTAATGGTTAGCTAGATCAATTACAACTGAGTAGTGAGTTTGATCCTCATTGGGTGCTCCATACTTTCGGCCTTGTGCCACATCTAAGCTACACTTAGAAAATCATATGAGCACTTCAACATGGTATAATTGTTAGCAAGCTTGTTTTGCTAGATCAATTACAACTGAATAGTTGGATCTTCACTGGGTACTCCATATTTTTGGCTTTGTGCCACATCTAAGCTACGTTTAGAAAATCACCATATTTAAGATTATTATCATAACTAATCTTTCATATGTATAATTTCTTATTTACTTCTGGGCATCATCAATTAATATTGGTATGAAAGTTTATGGCTTAAAAAAAGTAGTCAACTGTAGTTGAGATCATTGAGTCAGTACGAATGATCCTTTCTTTGGACACATAGTATGTACTTTGCCAAGGCTACATACAGTTTTGAATTTAGAATTTTCCTTCTCTTAGATCAGTTGCCACCCAAAGTTATAGAACCCAGTCTGTCTTACTATTTACCCATAGCTGGGGGAAGAACTGTTGGATTCATACCTTTCCCAAGGGTATTAGCATATATGTGAATATAATGAACTCAACTGGAATTTGAACTTGGCTCCCTGATTCTTCAATCTGATCCACATCCATTACTGTACTAAGCTTCAATATCTTGAAATTAAAATCATGGGCTATATTGAGGAGAGGAATTCTTTCCTACATATTCACAAAGCTTAATTAATCTTCACAATTATTAACTATTTGGGATTAACCATCTTCCCTTTTCATTATAGTCCCTACTTAAGGAGGTAGGGCAAAAGATTTTACCATAGTCATCTACCAAGTAAACATTGATTACCCTCCCAATGACATCTGACATTTACAGACTTCAACAGAAGAATAAATGAAAAGATATGGCTGGAAAGAAAAAAAAGAATAAAGAAGGGTTTACCTTATATTCTACCATCCTCTTTATTCCTTCTTGATTTTTTTTTTTTTTATTCTGATAAGGACACTAATTTTGCTTTCAAACCCAACATGTGACAATTGAGTAGGTCAGAATATGAGCTATTATATACACCTCTTGTTACTCCCTTCTCCCACAAATACTGCATGCACAACAACTTCATTTAGTAATACTCTACCTTGAGTGGCTCTTGAGCCTTGTATTGAATGAACAATAGAAAAATAAATATATCCCAATGAAATGAGAACTCCTTAAGCTTTATCCTTTTTTTTTCTAATGTAACCTGATACTCATTGTTTCATGATTGTTATAAATATGAAAAAAAATATTGCAATGAATTATGTATAAATAAATAAAAAAAAAAAAAAAAATTTCAAACTTTGGTATGTGTTTCAAGTATTTTCAGGATTACAATGATTAGACAAATGGAAAAAGAAGTGAAAATAATTCTCAAGTGAGATTCAAACTTCACACCCTGTAATTTATATTACACTTTATTTCAGATTTACAATTAGCATTTGATGAAATTCAACCTGTCTCCAGCCATTTATACATTTTTATTGCTTACTACTTGTAAATATATATATATATATATATATGTTTAATTAATTCATCAAGTCTGATAGAAACCTCAACAGAATGCAGAAAGCACTGACGGCCGTTTGGTCCTATATTTGGGACTCATCAGAAGTGCGCATCCACTACCGAGAATTGAAACCCTGACAGTTAGGTTGTCAAGCAAACATCATACCAACTGTTCCAACGGGCCTCGGTGATGAAGAGATTGCAAATCACACTCAATGTAGCACCGCTCACTGACATATTCCGTGGTTGAACTCTGTAACCATAGGACTGTGCCCCCTGGAGCCACGACTACTCTCACCAAGCCGCTCACTCTAGAGCATTAGAAGCCGGTTCAAGCAATGATATACATAGATGGAAATTATTAGGAGGGATTTGATAATAATATTAATTATTCATCGATCGATAGAACCTGTTTCTATCAGATAGAAACCTGTTGATAATCAGATTCATCGAGTCTGATAGAAACCTGTTTCTCGATGAATAATTAATTAAATATAATTATCAAATCCTCCTAATAATTTCCACATATATATGTATACATATATATCATAATGATGAGGACACAAAATCTGGAATAATTGTCTAACAATTGCCATGAAAATATAGTCTGAGAGCAATCACAGAATTCTATAAATTCTCATGAATTATTCAGGTTAATATTTTCATCTTTGTCGTTTACATCTGAAAATTTTTATTTTGTGTTGTGCTGAAACATTAAAAATGAGGATGCTAAAGTAACAGAAAAATAAATATTCTATGTCATAATTTCCAACAAGACAATTCATATGCTCAAAAACATAAGATGAGAATCTACAGATTTAAACATAAATCTGAGACTTAAAATTTTATCCTTACTATTATGCTAATATTTTTACAAAGCCCAAGAGCCACTCAAGATAGAGGTTTACTGTGTGGTGTTGTATGAGCATAATAAAAGGCAAGAAGTGCAGTTCATAAGGTTATGTAGGAAAGATAAGTTAAACCTAGAGTTGAATGGGTCAAGATTGTAGTGATTGGGAAAACATCCTGTCAGGATTCTGTTCCACAAAGCAGTAGTTATGTTGTCAAATTTGATGAGAAACCATGTTTATGGTTCATCTAACGATCAGAATATAATAAATTATGGTCCCCCCCCCATCAAAAAAATTCTTTCTGAATCGTTTTATGGGAAAAGATCAAGAGGCAGACCAGTGAGAACTTTTAATGGCCAATCCATAGAATCAGAAAAGAACTGGATAGCACTATGGATTACAGAAATGGTTGTAAAAAAAAAAAAAAAAAAAAACTTGTTAGAAGTGTTTGAAAATGATCAAATAGAATTGATTTGCTATTATTATAGTATAGATTCATTGTTGTGTCAGATTCAAAATTTTTAATTTTGATCAAATCTACTGTAACAAAGAAAATACTTTGATATTAAAATAAATGTAAGGTGATGTCAGCTGAATGAACTTAGAAGTTTTTAACATTATGTACTTTTGTCTTTTTTTTTTTTTTTTTTTATCTAATGCCCATTTTCAATGTATTATTTTTATTTCTACTTTGTCTCCAACTTAAGACAAAGTATATAACAATACTATTAGATCCCAAATGGTTATTTATTGACAGCTGTAAATACAGCAGATTTTAACAACTTTTATTGAATTACTCACAAAATCCATTCAGTTCATTAAATAAAAATAAGACATATTTTGTCGAGTGATATATTTACCTTGTTTTTCCAGTCTTCTGCCAACTTTGAAGCAAATTTTATAAATTCTATCTTCTCTTTGCATCTTTCTCAATAATATACACTTAGCACTTTCAAGAAACCAAAATTAATTCTCATTTAGACAATTCGATAAAAAAAAGAATAAATGGTAATCTGAAGATTCAATATGACAGATGAATGAAATTTCCCAGCTATGGAAGCTAAACAACAAAGTGACTAACATAACAAAGCTGGTTCAAATAGTAGTCAACATACTGAAAATATCAAAATCAAGTATTGACAATCTCCTATGTAGTATAATATTGATTATTCTCAAGTAATGTTTTGAATTCTATTAGTTTCAACTGTTGTACCTGGAGCCTTATGTGCAGGAGGGCCAGAGCAGCATAACCTAATCTTGCACATGTACAAGCATTGGTGCTTGAATGTCACAGCTCATGTGTCACTGAGCCAGACTGAGGCTGGCAGTGTGCACAAGATGCTAAATTTCTGGCTTGGCAAAAATGAATAAAAGAGGTGAGTGTTTGTTGGGACAGCAGTGAGCTTTTGGATTCAGCATAGTTCAGATTGGTGTGTTATGTTAGAAACCATAATTAAAAACATACCAATTTTGAAAATTTAAAAAAAAAATACATTCAGACATAACAGCTATCTCATTACAACAAAGTGATCTTTTTGAGTGAATTAAAAACTAAATGCCATCTAAAGAAAATGTTGTTCAGTATAAAAATTATTATATAGGACTTACATATATCAAAGACAAACTTTTCTTATGTTTTTTTTTTTTTTTTTTTTTTTTGTTTCAGTTCCTGAAAATGGCAACAGAATCTGCAAATGGTATTAATTTCCATAATGAACTCTACCACCAGACCAATGGAATTGCTGCTGAAATTATCCCCGGGAAAACTAAGTATCGACGAGATCCTCACCAAAGGTCAAATATAATATTCAAATAGTTATTTTCTTCCATGTACCTTGTTCTTTCAGGACATTCACGATCATGGCTCTCCACAATTTCCTGATCTTTGTAGCTCTTTATAAATTTTGTCTTTTTGTTATGCATTGTTTTCTTCCGTCCCTTCTTGCCTTAAGCTGTCCTTTGAGTATCAAATCTTCCAAGCTCTCTTTACTTCATTATGTGCTCTAGAAATGTCAACTTTCTCTTCCTGATAAGTATAATTGCCCTTTTTGTTTCCTTTTCATTCTAACTTCATCTAAACTTCATAATTACTTACACGTTCAGTTGATAGTATTCTTAGTATCCTTCTATAGAACCACATTTCTGTTGCTTCAAGTTTCTTCTTCATCTGTAAGGAGATTGTCCACTATTCACTGCCATATTGGAGGACTGATATTGCATAACAGTTCAGTACTTTTTCTAGATATTTAAATTGTTGAACTTGTTTAATTTTGATATTTCCAATTTGTTATTTGCATGTTGGGTTGTTCTTTTTGCTAATAACCATGCAGTCTATTTTCTTGCAATTGATGTTTAGTCAGTAAAAGAAAGTGATTTTTGTTTTCCTTCACTGCCTTTAGTTTCCTTTCTATGTCTATCAAAAGTGTCATCTGCATTGTCATATACTGTATCAAATGCTATCTTAATACACACAAAAGATCGTTTTCAAACTCTGAGTAAGCTTGGAGAGAAAGATGTAGGTTTGTATTAGTTTACTTAACAAGCATAACATTCATTTCAGCCTTGTAAATATATACAAAAGCATTTTTTATAAATTAAGTAATAGAAATAAATTATTTCCTCATATTTTAATAAAATATTTTTTCTCACTTGATAAGAAAATATGGTCTATAGTTTTAACAAGGCCAGGATGTGCAAAAAAAAACTTGTAAATTTTGATGTGGATAAACTTTCATTTAAAAAAAGAGAAATATATGTGCAGTGCATAATTATAAGGCCAGCTGAATTGTATCTTCAAACTTTAGCAATTGAAATAATTTTTTAATAATTTGTATATTATTATATAGTATTAATAATCTGAAAGTTTCAAATAATTACTATGAATAGAAAATCAGTTATTGTAAAATTATTCAAAAACTCAAACAATTGGTGCATAATTATAAGGCCATTAAAAACTTTTTATTACAAAAGTGACAAACAGTAAAAATTTATAGAAATTAATATTTAGTTTGTTTTCCATAATTGGTTATTACTTCAATCACTATTTTTCATAGAATAGATTAACTTCTGAATGTCATTTTGGTTAATTGAATCCCAGGCTTTTAAAATTTCACTTTTGAGCTTTTCCTTATTAAATTGATGCCCATTCTTGTATACTCATCTAACCAATATCCCACAAAAGTTCTTGATAGGATTGAGATCAGGTGATCTGGTGGGTCAATCCATAACATTGATTTGGTTAGCTTTAAAACACTCCATAATGGACTTAGCTTTGTGAACAAGAGTGTTGTCTTACTGAAACACCCAATTTCAAACATTAATTTTTTTCCCATAAGGCAAAGGAGCAGTAGACAACAAATTCTGATAACTCAAAGCATCAAGTCTTGTGTCAATGAAAATAATTTGAGTTTTGCCTTTGAATCTGAATGCCACCCAAATCATAAAACCCCTCCTCCTTGCACACGCTTGGAAAAGACCAACTTCTCCTAAGGTCTTGCCAATAATAAGATAACCCATCCTGACCATCAAAATTAAATTTTTTTCATCAGAAAATACCACACCTTCCCATTGCTTGTCCCAAGTCATATGAGCTTTGGCCCAATTGAAGCACTCTGACATATGGTGCTCGGTCAAACATGGAGTGTTCATAAGCTTGCCATAACTGAACTCAGATATCTGTTAAGTTCTCTCCAAACTGTCCAGTGTGAAGCACCCAATTCCAGAGATGCTTGATGCTTGGAAAACGATGTGATGGCATTGTTTTTTTTTTTTTTTTTTTTTTTTTTTTTTTTTTTATCGCTCTGACAACCCTGTCACTTAATTTCTTGCTTCTTCTGGCTACCTGACTCCATAATCTTCTGTGTTTGATAAAAAGTTGTTAATAACCATTTTTGAATGGCAATTTCTTTACTACTCAAATTTTCATTTAAGAGTGTGATTATTTCATCTTTTTCAATATTCACTTAATTTTGTACCCAAAGGCATAGTTTATGTCAGTTGTGTTATGAGCAAATTCTGGTGAGTTATTAGTAATAATTTATAAAATTTTAAGCAATTGTTGATTTAAATTATTTTAACTTGTACTGCTTTTTTTTTTTTTTTTTTTTTTTTTTAAATGGCTTTATAATTATGTATCAATTGTTTTTCAAGTTTTTGAATAATTTTACAATAAGTGATTTTCTACTCATAACAATTATTTGAAACTTTTGGATTATTAATACTATATAATAATATACAAAATAATCAAAAATTATCTCAATTGCTAAAGTTTGAAGATAAAAATTCAGCTGGCCTTATAATTATGCACCACAAACTCTCTCTCTCTATATATATATATATATATATATATATATATATATATATATATATATATGATCTACTTTTAGAGTAAAATAAAAATTATTTCCAGAATATTTTGATTAAGTGAAAAACTATATTTTCACTGTCATTATTGAAACTCTGTGACATCAAACTGTCCTCCTTTATAATCTCTAAACATGATGGAAAATTTGACACTTTTTAAGGCAAGAGGAACAAAGAGGAAATTGAATAAACTACCTAACAAGCTTATGTAAGTGAGTCACAGAACATGGAGTGGGTGGGATAGTAAAAAAAAAATATATACTACTAAGTGTGACAAAGGATAGAATATTCAAGAGAGCAATGATCAACCACATCTTGAGGGGACACAACACATAGTAGTAGTAGTAATGGAAAGAAAATACTTTGTAAGAAAAATGCTTCAGTATTTTAAAATAACAGGCTTGGAAAATATACTTTATGAAGAAGAACTTCCCATCCTGGCTCTGTTATGTTATGCTACTTTTGTAATGTGATAATGATAATATTAACTGTTTCCTTATAAGAAACATTTGGCATTCATTGACCAAGCAGCCAGTGCTAATTTCTGTTGAAATTTATAAAATTTTTCTATTAAAACATTTTTCAGGAATATAGATTTCTCAAGTCTATTAACTGTTCTTACTCTTTCCAGTATTGATTGGGTTTCCTTGACCTTTTGTTTGTAATAGTACAAATCATTAACATCTTGATTGTCATTATTTTATCTTCAATTTACATGTGATATCCATGCTAATTGTTACTGTTGTTGAAAGTTCTCAAGTGATATAGTTTCTGTTATTCAGTAGAGTTCTTTGTTTGTGATCCTGTAGCACCAGTTCATAAGGTTTGCAGAAAGATGGTCCTCACTAACACCTACAGGCTTTATTCACTTGAAGCCATTTTTAACCATTGATCTGAGTTTGTGATTGTATATATAGCTGACAGTTTAGATATTTCTAAATATTGAATCACTGACTTTTTTCCTAGAAAAAGAAAGTTTGTTTTTTTTCTCCTCCAGTGTATTCTTCACATGACTTACAGTTACTTTGCAATACAAAAGTATGTCCAAATGCTAGCAACTCATAATAGTTCTTTTTGAATTCCACATAACCCAGAATTTTTTTCCCTCCAGTGGATTCTGTCCAAGTTAATATTTTGAATGCTGAACTGGATCTTGTAATTTTTCTTTATTTTGAATTCTTGTTAACCATTTATCATCACCAGTTATTATCTTGTTCCAAAATAGCCATTTTTTATATATATTGCAAGAATGAAACCTCTCCTATGGCAGTGAATGCTGCACAATTTCCTCACATATGAAGAGACTTTAGTCAACAGATGCTGTTCTACAGAAGGATGTTAAGAATAACATGGACAGAAAATGTGAGGAATGAGGAAGTTTTAAGGAAAAATGGAAAGAAAAAGGACACTTAAAATCAGAAACAGATTGTTGAAATTTCTAGGACATATAATAAGAAAAGAGGGGGTTGGAAAATTTAACATTCACAGAATATATTGAAAGCATGGGGAAAATGGCTAATAGCCTACTTAACATGTGTAAATAAATGATACAACAGGGAGTGTGAAGGATAGTATAAATACAAAAAAAAACTTAACTAAAAGCTATAAAGGATTGAAAGTTATGGAGTGCCATGATCACTCATGTCCTGAAGAGATGTAGTATATAAAAGAAGCAAAAGAAAAAAAATTGTTTAAATATTGCCATTTCTATGGCTTATAAATAACATACAATTGAAGAATTGTACAAGCAATAAAAAGCTTTATAAATTTCAAGTATTTCTCTAATACAGTGCAAATGAGGATACTAGAGACTTCTGCATCAATTTCATATTTAAATAATCTCCTGCTTTTTTTGTCAGATTTATGGCTATATCATGTTGAAACACTTGTACAGTCACAGAAGTTAAGCCTGTTGAGTCTGGTCAGTACCTAGATGGGTAACCATTTTGAAATACCAGGTGCTGTAAGTTGGATCTACAGGAGGTGTAATGAGTATAACTCTACCCCTTGCTGTAACCACATGACATAACTGGTACATGTGCTGGTCACCAATTAGAACACTCCTGTCTAGGTTTTGACTATCATACCAGGTTCATTTCCTTCATTGGGATTTGTGTCTAGTGAATATAATTCATTGGTCCCCTTAAGAAAATCACAGCCCATGTCTTTGTTGATCTGGGTGAGATTTTGACCACTGTTTCTTCAACGTCTGGCAATTGTGCTGAAAATTGTATAAACATGCCAACAGATGACACTATACTGTAGAAAAATTATCAACAATTTAATTAGAGGTAAAATGTAAAGTCATACAACAGTTATGGGATGTTTCATCCCAATCACTCATTTTCTACCCTTGAGGCACTGAAAGATGTCTAAGTAATGCTGGTGGTGTTAACATCTTAGCAGTGAATTACCTTTATGGTGGACTCTTT